CCTGTGCCTCCTCACTTTCTTGAAAGATTTCAATTTTTATTCCATCAATTCCTGGTACCTTGTTCTTTGCCAATTCAATTCCTTCAGTGCACCTTGGACTTCTTCCTTTAGTATCATTGGCTCTTGATCATATGCTACCTCTTGAAATGGCTGAACATTCGTCATTTCCTTTTAGTACAGTGACTCTGTATTCCTTCCATCTTCTCTTGATGCTTTCTGCATCATTCAATAATTTGCCCAGAGAATCTTTCAATAACAAAAGTCAAGGATTGAATTTTTTCTTCAGTTCCCCCAGCTTGAGAAATGCTGTGTGTTTTCTTTCTTTTTGGTGTTCTGATTCCAGATCTTTGCACATTTTGTTGTAATATTTGGCTTTATCTTCTCGAGTTGATCTTTGAAATTTTCTGTTCATCTCTTGTACCTTATTTCTTCCATTTGCTTTAGCATCTCTAGGCTAGAGAGCAAGTTTCAATGTCTCTTCTGACATCCATTTTGACCTTTTCCTTCTTTCTTGTCTTCTTAATGACTTTTTGCTGTCTTCGTGTATGATGCTCTTGATGTCATTCCACAACTCTTCTGGTCATCTGTCTTTAGTGTTTAATTTATCAAATCTGTTCTTCAGATGATCTCTAAATTCAGGTTGTTGTTGTTGTTGTTGTTAAGTGCCATCAAGTCAGTTCCAACCTATAGCAGCCCTGTATTGGGTTTCTGAGGAGCAGCTGGTGAGCTTGAACCAACAATTAGGGTTCCTCAGCTCCTGATACTATATGGTGAGGAAGAATCCTCCAGAGTGACCTCTGACCTATGGATTAAGAACTTGCCATCTCCTACAATTGGGTAAGTCATTTCTTCCAACAGTTGTGAGTCCTATGAGACGTTGCAACATATGGTAGAATCCTGGAACATGAGGGAGGCAGGAATGGTGATTGACATCAAGGACTATGTAGTGGACCAGGTGTGGTGCTATCCAAGATAATCACTGGACTGAAAGGTTGGTTTGAACTGCAAGGTCTGCAATTCAAATCCATCAGTGGCTCCTTGAAAACCCTATACAGGGTCACTATGAGTTGGAACCAACTCAAAGGCACTTAACATAACATGTGGGATATATCTTTAACCTTCTTGTGCTAATCTTTCTAAAATAAATTATTCATACATCATAAAAGTATACTTTTATAACAATAGTTCCCTTTTTACACCTGTATGCTATTTCGCTGTATGAAAGGTTCACAGTTGAGTCATTCCAATGGTATCTGGGTAATTTCCACTTTTGGTATTGTTGTTAATGAAGGGCTGCACTAATACCTTGGAAAAGTCATTTCACAAGTATACAATATCTAATGAATCAATTTCTAAAAGTGATTCTGCTGGATAAAAGGATATACATATTTGAACTTCTAATTTTGATGGCCAAATTGTCTCCACTAGGGTTTTCAGCAATTTATGTGAGTGTCCATGTATGTGCACTCCCATTAGTATTGTGAGGTTAACTCAGAATCGGGAAGTGTTTCATTTGTTGTGCACAGGGTCGCTATGAGTCGGTAATGTCAACTAACAACAATTAGTATTATATGTGAGTACTTGTTTCTCCAATGGAATAGACTCCCAAACATTTGGACTTTTGGACATCTAAAATGTGCCTTAGTGGTACAACAGTTAAGTGCTTGCCTGGTAAGTGAAACGTTGGTAGATCATGTCCGCCTATCCCCTGGGGAAAAGACTGGGAGGTCTGCTTTCTTAAAGATTACAACCAAGAAAACCTATGGGACAATTCTAGTCTGTGCCAAGGGGTCACTATGAGGTAAATATTGACTCAAAGGCATCTAACAATAACAAGTCATTTAAAATACTATTTTTTAGACATGTATTTCTCTTATGAGTGAAATTGCACTTTTTCATATTTCTAAAGGTCATTTGTATTAACTGGCTAAAACAATCATCAGACATTTAATGATGGGTCAATGGTTGTTGTTAAGTGCTGTCGAGTCAGTTCCAACTCATAGCGACCCTGTATAGGGTTTCCAAGGAGCAGCTGGTGAGCTTGAACTGTGGCATTGTAACTCTAAAGTTCAATGATCTAATCAACATTGGACTAGGCAGTTGAGGCAAAGGGTAAGAAAACAAAGTACTGAGGTCAGAGATGTTTCATTTCTTTGATTAAATATCCAAATACTCCAGGAAAATGTGAGCACTAAAAAGCAAAGCTTATATTTTAGCCATCTTGGTATCCCCAGCACAGGGCCTAGAATCTTGCAGGCAACTTAGTCACTGATGAACACGAGAGATATTAGCTATTCTTGGGAATTCTCTTCCAGAAGTATCCAGATAGCATTATGATCCTGTTAATCTGGATAACTTGCCAATAAGTTATGATTATTTATTGTTTCATTAAGGCACAACTATTATGAAGCTTATCAATGAAAAATTATCTGAAATGAATACTGTTGGCTATATAAGGGTCACGGTCTGTCAGGGTGTAGGTCTGTCTTTCTTGGCACATATTCTGGATAGAGAAGGCAGTCAATAAGTTAGCTAAATTTGCTGAATGAATGCATGGAAGTTTACTTAAATGAAGAAACCATCATAATGCCAACAGAAGGCTGATGACCACCAGGCAATTTGGAGGATGTTAGCAAGATTGACAGTATCCTTCTATCCTATTTAAGGAGTAAAGAGCTTTTAATTGCATATCACCTGGTTTTTTACGTAAAAGCATCCCCAAACTATAAAGGGGCAATATATCTGGCTCTGATAAGGGGATCTGATTAATTTTGTTCTGATGTTCAAAAGATGTTTGATTTTCTCACTGCCCCTTTCCAGGTGGCTTTCTATTCTGAAGGATTCTGTTAGGTTCACTCTACCACTCATAACCAATTCAAATGCGTAGCTAAATTTAACTCCTACAAAAACCTAAACCCATTGCCTTTGAGTCAAAACTGCTGACCTTGCAGTTAGTGGTGGTGGTAGTATGCCGTGGAGTCAATTCCAATTCATAGCGACCCTGTACAGGATTTCCGAGGCTGTAAATCTTTACAGGAGCAAAAAACCTCCTCTTTCTCCTGTGGAGCAGCTCATAGTTTCATACTACTGACCTTGAGATTAGCAGCCCAATTCGTAACCACTGTACTACCCGAGCTCCTTAGTAGCCTACTTTAACCCACAATCCACTAGTTCAAACCATCTATAGATGAGATACATTATAAGCATTTGCTGTTACTGGGTTTAACACAATGATTCTCAATTAAGGGTATGAGATGGAAATTATTCATATCAGCATTATTTACTTATTTTACTACACCTGCCCTATTTCTTTCAGTAGAAGCTTGGTCAAGTATCACTGGGAAAGCTCTCCAGGTGGTTCTAACTTCTTCCCACCTCCCATCTTCACTCTTACGTCTTTTTAAGACTAAAAAGCACTTCCTAATTACTTCCCTGTCCCCAACTCCCTTGCATTCGTCTTTAAACAGTTGTTTGTGGGAATCATTTATACAATTTACTTCTCTTGGAATCATTTCTGTGTCCTGCCATAGCCTATGTCACAGAAGCTGTTCCTGTGATGCCCTTAAGTTCCGAACTCAGAACTAAAAGAAATCATACATTTGCTCTATGCTTGGTATACAGTGCACAATATATTTTTAAGCAAAACACCTAGATAGTATCTAACTTTCTGTATCTCCTTCGATGTCTAATATGCACCCTATAAATTTTCATGGTCACTTTTCTCAGGACTTAGTATTTTCCCAACTGATATTTCCCTTATTGTTGAACTCTGTTTAGCAAAGTATGTCACAATGCTTACCCTCCCCCACACCCTTGTCAAGTTACACACAACTACAATAATCTAAAAAAAAATCCTAGCCCACTCTCAACTTTTCAGAGGAAACCGAGACCATAAAAGGTCAATTAAGGTCATAGTGGCTGAACTCTGACTAGAATCCTAGTTTCTCATCACAAGTAATTTATATATATATTCAACACACAGTAATGAGCACCCACTTCTTGCGTAGCCCTGTGCAAGATGGTTTCACAAGCTATCCATTATTTGAAGATTACCATAAAAGGCAAATTTTAAAAGTTAAAGTAAGTTATCGAAACTCAATATAATCAATTTTGGGAACAGAGATTTCCTAAAAGGGATTTCAAGTGCAAACAGTTGTAATCAGTGGGACTACACTACTATTTTTTGTCCCATGATGCCCTTACCCCTTCCCTTATATATCTTCCTTCCCAAAACTCAACTGAAATGTGCTAGTCTAACATTAATTCAACACTTCTGTCTGACCTGGTGAAGTTGCTGGTTTTCTTCTTTCATTCTGAAAGGCAATTTTCTGGTTCCTGCTGCATCAGGAGCAAAATCTTAGCCCTAATTCCTCTGTTCACCCCAAATGCCTTTGCTCAAGTGTAACCTTAAAACCCACCCATTCTCTTCCAAGTGCAGCAAAAAGGAAACAGACACAATGTGATGGAAAGGTCTTGTAAATCGTTTTGTCCAATACAATGAGTATGAGAACCGCTATTGTTTGGAGGCTAAGGGGAAGGCATTTGTGCCTCCTTGGATGCGGCTTCCACACTAGGGATTTCCAGCTGCAGTTTTAAGACGATCAGATTTAGTAGAAGACTTTGTGCGAGCAGCCTTTACTTCCTGGGACTTAGCTGGCCCGCTCGAGGTTCGGTTGGTTTGGGCCGGGCTTGGCTTCTGGTTGGTCCGCTTTACCAATTTCTCACAGTCCTGTTTCTTCTCTTCCCTTTGCTTTGAGCTTGGCCTCTGGTCCTCCTTTGTTTTGGGCTTCTTCTCTTCCTTCTTAGACCGTGATCTCCCCTTTTCCATCACCTTGAGTCTCGCTTCCTTTTTGGACCTGGGCAGCACCTGGTCCTTGGCTTTTGACCTCAGCCTCTTCATCTTCAAAGCCATCTTCGCGTCCCGTCTCCATACTGCCCTGGCCTTCTTGGCCGCCTTGCGACGCGTGCGGCGCCTTCGTGGGCTCCGGGGCCTCGGCGGGGGCCTCTTCGGAGAGCGGGCGCCTTCTTCCACCTTTCGGCGTACCGGCTTCCTCTTAGGCTTCGGGATTTTACAGACCCTGTAGTAGCCCTCGGCGTCGCTGCCGCTGACCCGGAGGAGCGTGCCCTTAACCTCGGGCCTAGCCGTTTCGCCCGAGCGGCGGCTAATCTTCCTGCGCACCTCATAGCCGGCATTGGCGAGCTCCTTCTTGAGAGTGGCCAGAGTCAGTCCCTGGTGTGCGTCGATGGCCCGGAGCAGCAGCTGGGACACTTTGAGCACGGAGCGCGGGCCCCGCCTCGCAGGTGCCTTGAGCACTTTTCCCAGCGGCGCCTGAGTTTTAACCTGTGCGCGAAAGGATTCGCCATTGGGCTCTGCCAGTTCCACTGCCTCAGCCATGGCCCCGCGCCCACTCCTGCCTCCGCGGGGCCACTGGCTTTGGTCCTCACTGGCCACGGATTATGTAGGCTGAGGCACGGCACGTCACAAAGGGTGGCCCAGCCCGAGTAGCGGCTAATGTGCTGACTGCAAAGGCGGTTTCAACTATGAGGTAGGCAGTTCAAGCTCACCAGCCGCTCCTGGAAACAATATACCGGGTAGCTGTGGGTCGGAACTGACTCGATGGCACTTAACAACAACAATAAGAAGGTAGTTGGTCCCATCCAGTCAGGGTTGTTTTTTTTTTGTTTTTGTTTTTGTTTAATAATCAACCAAACAGAAGCCACTTCTGTCTTAGTCTAAGCCAGTGGAGATCTTCAACACCTGTGCATCTCTAACAATGAACATTGTTGTTGTTGTTAAGTGTTGTCAAGCCGATTCCGACCCATATCGACCCTGCATAGGGTTTCCAAGGAGCAGCTGGTGAGCTTGAACCACTGACCTTGCAGTTCAAATGGCTTTGCAGTCTGGCACATTAACCCACAGCG